GAGTAGTTTACGAAAACAGCGAGAGCGAATATCGCTAAAAATATCGCTAAGTCTAATTTGCCATCCGAAAATCGTTGGAGAATAACAAAATCGTTAAAGTTATCGTTAAGTCATTATAACGATCCGAAAATCGTTATAATTCGATAGAGGATTCCCCTACTGGTACCACATTGTTCCGATCGAAAAAAGGAGATATTTTTGATAGCAGAATTTTCCAAATAATTTGAAAAGACTGAGTAGTAGACTTATTGGTCTGTAAGAAGCCGTCTGTGCGTGGTCTGTGCCTGGTTTGGCTATCATTAATATCTGCGACTTTTTCCACGCGTTTGGAAAGTGATTTAGTTTTAGAATGGCACTAAAGAGTTCAGAGAGCAATGTTTGTGCAACTCTTGGTAGCTCTATTAGCATTTTTGATGTAACAAGGTCGGGGCCCGGAGATTTCTTCGGATTCAGTTTCCGTATCGCGTTAATTGAAATTTGCACTTATTTAAACACATTTTTTTGAACTAACCATTTTCAAGCCGTTGAAATTTGGTGTTTCTCTAACTGCCTCTGGTTCTTAGCATTCAAATGCACACTGAGCTGATACATCAAATATCAAAGTCTTACTTACCCATCATTTATTTACAAAAAAGGCAAACGATAGATTTCCCCCCGCTTTTGGCTTACTCGTTATACGGTATACTCGTACATATATACAATAGCTGTTTATGCAATTGGCATCACATTTAAAAGCCACTACAGCTGTCGTTGGTTATGATTGCCCACTCTCAACCAAAGGCATCAGTAACACCAGCAATATTTGCGAAATACCAACTGAAGTGAAGAATGTCAGTAGCAGCTATGTGTCAACAGATATACATACATGGGAGTTTGTATAAATTTAACATAAAAGTATGTAAATGTATAAAAATAAAAAGTAAGAGAGGGAGAGTTTCGGTTGGTCGAAGTATTAGAAACTCGGGTGTTTTGGCTTTATCGCGCCTTTGCTTATTGAACCTCTACCCAGCAGGGAAGTTCGTGCTACTAAAAAGTTCAGAATTCGAAATTCCGGTCTGATAAACATCTAAAATTTAAAAATTCTTCAATCGTGTTTGCCCACCGACAGTGCAGTTATGTTAACACCTCCGCGAGCATTTTGTATGCGAAATAAACATATCAATCAAGCTGTCGTCTAGAACAAGCACAACTTCGTTGATTTTGGGGTTATGATGGATCTTAAGCCCAACTTCCATATTCATATCAATAGCACAGTCTTAAAAGCTAAAAATGCGTTTGACTTTGGCAAAAGATGGTCAAAAGAACTTAAATACCCTTATATAACTAAAGCACTTTATACGGCTTTGATGAGGCCAATATTAGAATATGGTTCATCGAGATGGAACCTCAACTATCAAGTTCATTCCGCTAGTGTATTTTTTTTAAGAGTCTGTTCAAAAACTGTTTTTACTTTTTGCATTAAGACATTTCCGAGGGAACTCCACAATAAATCTTCCTAGCCATACCAACCATTCAAAGCTTCTAGGCACACCTACTCTCGCTAGTCCTAGATACATGTTAGGCGCATTGTTCGTAGTGAAACTTCTAACGGATCAATTTGTAGTTCATGGCTCTTGTCTGAGGTTAACTTTAATGTTCCCACTAGAGTATCTAGGCGGTTTAGGCCTTTACTATTAAAGTCATGAGATTAAATTATGAACTGAATGAACCCTTTCGCTGGTTGTGTCACAGTTTTAAGTTTCTTTCCAGCACCTTCGATCTCTCAGACTCACTATTTAGCTTCAAAAAAACTATTTTTACTTCTCTCAACAATTAAGTTTTAAAACTCCATAATTACTAAATTTCAGCGGTTGAATGGTTATTTTTTCTGTAGCTGAACAGTTTTAAATCTCGACGCTTCCCAATCATAATTCGGCATATTCCATACGTTATGCGGATAACGTCTTTCGGATCGGCTGGGCGGCTGGAGGGTATTCATTGGACTTATTAAATAAAAATAATCAGAGCATTCACAACTAGAAACCTGTGCTTCAATTAACGGTCATAGCAATGAAGTCGTAGTCAACTTCGTCTATGTATTAGCCAGCCTTAAAGGCATTCCCGAAATTCAAAGCAGATTCACTCTCGTCAATAGAATTGGGTTGAGTGGGCAATCGAAAAGTAAACTTATTTCTCAGTGAACAAAGATCAAATAAATCGATCAGCATTGACAGCTTTTTAATGCAGAATCATGGAAGATGAGAATCGACTTTAGAAGTTGTTTCATATCGGTATTAACTATGTTCTGGAATTCCTCCAGAATTACGGCAATGGGGATCGGAAGAGGTAAAGTTTCTTCAGAAAGTTTCAAGCATTAATTAAATATTATTTCAAAACCATTTATTTGTTTTGAATACACGCAAAATTCAAATAATTCCAAATACAAGAAACTTACCTCAGATGTGGCTGTGGCTGCTAAAACAAAAAGAAGTGTTTACGACCGGCAACATTGGTATTTTGAAGATTTCCACATAAGGTGGAAATCCTAAACGGGGCTAAATTTGAAGAGTGATGTATACTAAGGCTGCTGCTCGGGGTTGCACGCATAAATAGGAGCTATCGAGAGGAAAGTTTTACCAAAAGCTTATGAGATATCGATATTGTAGATATAGTCGGCGATAATGATATTGTCTATCCAATTAAGAGACATCAGGACCCGCAGAGGGAAACAGGGGAGGACGAAGATCAGGTGAAACCGGATTATGATTAGGATTTGGCGAAAATTGTTATTGTTGATCTAATACCTAATTAAAAACTATATCTCCTACTTTTAGTGAATCACAGGGGGAGACTCGGTGCCTCTAAGTATATCATGTGTATGTATTACATACACACATATGTCTGTCTTGTTTAGTTATTACCGTTATGCACAACTGTTAGCTGCACAAAGTGAATTTATCCTCTACCCACAGTAGAGTCGGGTATAATATTCCCTTTACCATGGAATTTTAAATATGTTTATGTATGTATATGCATGTTTGAGTATTTCAGTGTGCCAGCAGAATGTCAATGGCGTTACTAGCTCTTTGGTGTAGTGCAAAGCAGTGCTTTCAAGAACGTTTGTGTTTTTTTATGAAATCACATTTTTTTATTTTACATGGTTCCAGTGTTTGCTTACCGCTCTGGTAGTTTTGAGATATTCACAATACGTACATACACACAGAAATCAACCAAAGCTATGTATGTATATATGTGAATTATTTAAAATTGAATGTAAACATTTATTTTGCGGCTGCTTTATGTAAAGAAATTCTTAGCTTTCCTTCGTAAGGATAGTTTTAATGAAATCATGGCACCCGCTGAATAAGAAGAGGGTGGAAATTGACTCAATTTACTGCTAATAAAAACTGGATATAAAATTTAAAGTGAATGACTATGATAAGTATACAATTCAACAATTTGTATAATCATTCACTTATGGTTGTGGCTTAAGGAAAGCTTGTAGTTTTAGTTGGAAACCGAACTCATTGGGGTAGCGAGTTTAAGAGATGGAAGGCGAAACGATTATGCGCTTATTTCAAAATAATTTGCAATAAAACAAATGTCTTGACAACAGGACCAACACGAAAATTTTTATAAAAAGTATGATTTTAAAGAATTATATACACATGTGCGCGTTTACAAGTTCTACAGTAGGTCACAATAGATAATCCAAGGGGTTTTTGCACAAATTCTTATTCAGAAGCTCTTAAATTCAACTGGGAAAGCGCAAACTGCACTTGGTGGGGGACAGAATTTAACACGATCCGGAGGTAATGTCGCAAACTCTTTAATAAGCATAAAATACCAGTCGAAAACCTGAACTGGAAAGCATAAAAAGACGAACTCAAGGCTTATGAAAAGCATTTAGGGACAGCAAAAATATCTTCTTGGAGAGGGAGTAACAGACAACATATGTTTACTTAAAATATATATTCTATGGGGACTCACGACTGATTCTCGCCTTCATTACCGACGGAGGATGAAGGCACACAAAAAAGGACTTTGAGACGTAAAGTTTTCCATCTTTTGGGAATTTTCAATCTTTCGAGATCAATTAAGCTCAAGAAGAAGCTGCTCTAAAATGATCAGTGCGTCCATTAGAAGGATGAATCGATAAAATGCACTAGACTACCCATTGAGGTGTCTCTGTCAACTCAAATAACCTGTAACTAGTACTATTCCTTAAAGTATACAAGATATCTGCTAACATCCCACAGCACTGCATGGTTTTCAACTTAGCCTGGGAATGAGTACCACACTTTAAGCGGTTATATTAGACAATAAATTAAGTTGGGGATAAATCATAGCTCAGAGATCATAGAATGCTACTAGTGCCCTTACGCAGGCAAAAGGAATATTGTGGCGATGCTATAAGGAAAGCCTCAGAACAGCACGTTAAACTACATCATTGGCGCACTTAGCAGCACACCAAATAAGGATCTAAAGGAGGTGCTCATTACCAAAAACTATACTTGGCGGTACAGCAGTCGCCAGCAATAGCCGCGCTAAGTTTCTTCTTCTTCTTTATTGGCATAAGCGTCACTTACGTGAATATAGTCGAGTTAAAAATAGCGCCCCATTCGTTAAGCACTCATGTCGTCCGTCTATCACAATATGATCGATCTGATGTTGATCTAAACACAGTCAAGTAGCTTGATGAATTTCCTGGAACGGAAATCTAGTACCCAGGGTACGCGACATGAACGCTAGAGTAGGAATTGAGTATAGCCCCCAACTATGACTGCATACACAGAAGCTTGACTACACCCCATCACACCCCACTCCCACCGTACAACGTTTATGAGAATCAAAACAATGGAACACTCAACTATTTAGTCGGGTGGCAAATGGTCATAGATAATAATGGATCCTGATTAAAAGTAATATTTAATAAAGAAAGGTTTTGTTCAGAACTGTACAAAAAGAACTGCAATACATATGTAAGTTATTAAACAAATTTTCTTTAATTCTATTTTCAGGTGTTTCCCATATAACATCGGAGCTCAATGCGGATTCTCCCATTGTTGAAGTTAATCAGGTGAGTAACTGGTTTGGAAATGTTCTCTCATAGAAATGCCTTATATTCGTGGTTATTAAGCGAAATGTGTCATAAGTCATAAATATTGCTTGAAATAATTCAAGTTTGTTTCTGAAACTGACATTAATCTTGGGCAATTTTCCGCCAATAAGTGTCATGTAATCCATGTCATAACCTCGCATATGCACATATCTATACACATACACGCTCATATGACTATACATACGTACTTCTAAAAAGCAAAACCACAAACACGTACAACCACAAATAAATCAAGGAATTTCGTGTGGACATGCGGTTAAAGCAATAAATGTAATCAATAAGCGGTGTATACGACGACGAATCCCGCTTTACCCGACCAACCGACAGAAAGGATTAGTGAAAATTCCAACAAACGGGTTGCAGAAAACCAATGACTAACCGCACTGCCCTGAATCCGAAACCGATTGCCTAAAGTCGTGTTTACACTGGCCTCTTACACTAAACAGCTACAGATTTGCTCATGAGCTGCCATAAATTACATGGCAAAAAGGAGTAGGAATTTACTTAACTATTTAAAACACTTAGTAAGCAGATTTTGATACAGAAAAGCGAGTCAGAGTAATCAATGTTGGGGAAATGTGTATTAAAATCGTTAAAGAAACAACTAAAAGGGTCATACATTTTAAAATTTGTTCTGCGTGAACACAATGAAAGGTGCCAAAATCAATTTATATAATATATATATTTTATGTCAGAAGTACACTCGGAGGGGTGGACATTCCCTGCCGAGGGGCGACCGCAATTAGAAAATTTAACTTAATCTTTTATTCGAATTAATTTTCCATAACTTTTTATGGGTGTTGGTAGCACCGGGATATCAACCCGAGCCTTTTGAATGTCAACACGCAATGCTTCCAAAATTTGCCCAACCAGTCAAGTAGATCATTGAACGTCATTCATTGACGTCTTTTGTCTTTTTAGCACAACAATTTATCTGATTCCCAAAATTTAGCTACGAGTCCATTGCGACACCCACATCGATGAAGTCAGTAACTTGTTTAACATTGTGATTATGTCTAATATAGACAAAGGATTGGACAGCTATATTATATATTTTCCTCTTATTTAAATATGGGGACATATGGTTTGCATTCCACCATCTAACTCAGTAAATAATTTAAAGAGTTCCTATCTATCCTATAGAAGAAACTGATTTAAGGAGCTTGACATTATCTGCGCACAGGATGTTTGGAAGGTCATTCATGAATATGATCAAGTATGAGGACGAGGTGCCTACCTAGAGGAATACCAGATATTACTGATATATCACAAAATGTACAATATTTAAAAATTACTTTGCCAATCACGTACGATGAAACGCACTTGAGAAAGAAGGAAATCCGATGATATCGAATTTGAAGTGCACCTTGCCGAAGTCAGTATGCGGACTAGCATTTATAAATTTTTAAACTACACCATATTTATAGATAGAATTTTAAGGACAAGCTATTTCTATTTATCAATAATATGCCTCTCATATTTTTTAGATGTATCTAATACCAAATGTTATCAACTTTCCAAGGTGAATTAAAAATTGTGAGAGCTCTGGAGCACTTCAATTAAACTTGGAATCAGGATCAAGTGGAATGAGCTAGTTTCGAAGGTCAGACGGTTGAAATGAAAACGAATTAGTTGCATATAAACTTTCGATATGTCAGCATTGAATGCATACATTGTGTATACGAAGCTGAATCATCTGTGGAATATACACAGGAAAAGCTTCCGCCGGCGACTTTTCTTAGTAGAATTGGGCATTGCATTTTTTTCACCCACTATTATCCAATGGGAGAGGACCCCCAGAGGGAGAGGAGCCATGGCAGTGGTGAATGAAATGAGGGGAATTCCACAGGAGCCATCGACATCCAGTGGGGAAAGATTGACGCACCACATCCCCCCAGGAAGGGTGTGCGGTGCCACTTGTGTCCACAGAAATCCAACGCGAGTTTACACTCTGTGGAATGTGATAAATGTTGCAAAAAAGTCTGTCCAGAGCACCCTTTGTGAAAAATGTGAAAATAATTGATTTTTTTTAACAACTTGATATAATAGAATAACAATAGTAAAACATAATTTTAGCAAAAAAAAAAAAAACAAAAAATTATGTTTGTTTTTCTTTTTTCCATAATTTTCGTCTTGTGTCAAATTGGCACAAGAGTCGGTTATGTTTTATTTTCTTAAGAGAGGAAGCTGATCTAGAGCGCAAAAAATGGGCATATTTTATTGTATGAATTTATTTTGACTCAGCAAAGGAATCAATCCAAAATCTAAGGAATATGTTAAATAATATAGATTTAATGGTACAAATACAAAATTATTTGTGTGAATTAATTTCAAAATGGCCGCTATCCAGCATTTCTCCCAAGGCGCGTTTTTTTCTAATGGGCCTATGGCCGAAGATGTAAACTCCTTAATTTTTGTCCTGGATTAAAAAATAAAATTGTTTAGTGTCTATATAACAACAGCAAGAGACGTACGTAGGATTTTTTTGATATTTTGGTTTTTCGCGAAATGGTGCACGTTTGAACAAAAAGTTACAATTTCCACTATAAAAAACGATATAAAATTGTTGAATAAAAAAAATATGTAATATAAAAAAATCCTACGTACGTCTTCGGAGAACGGTATTTCTAATGTACTGTCAAAATTATGTAAGAATCGGTGAAGATTTCTTCGAGTTATGTCTTCGGCCTGTTTAAAAAAGGTGATTTCGAGAAAAACGCGTTTAAAGTTGTATGGCGCTCGGGGCATACCTGCGAGGCACTGCCGTGGAATGAAAATTTGGGCATTTAGTCATTTTTGCCGGGATCCATCTTTTATTTCTAAGACCCTAAAGCACCTTTTAAGACAAAACATTATTTTACGATTTTTTCAAAATTCTAGACCAGCTTCCCCCCTTAAGGACGGATGCGTGTTAAAGTAAAGTTATCCTTTGCCAATGTAACAATGCATCGATTGGTGAACACCCATAGCAAAAAGCTTTACAGATGATTAACACAAGTAAGCAAAATAGAAATTGGAATAATTCAGAAATAAAATCACAAACTGTTAATAGAAAAATTAATAAAAAAAATTAACTAAATTCCACCGATTACACCATGTTGATTATTAAATTTATGTCGTGGAAAGTTACTGAAAAGAGGCAAATTTAAAGGATGTAGAACCTAAACTATGTTATAATATATTTCATTCTAGTCAAATTTCATCCGATTTAAATTGTTCGGTTATAAATCCGTCAAAGAAGCATCTAACAGCATGATACATTCGGATCCACACATATACAATCACACCTGAAAACATATGGAAAACGGGTACTGGATCTCGTCATAAGACAACTCCTTATCGATTGGCTGAAGACATGTCTCTAGGTATCAAAATCAAAAGCGGCAATCAGAAAGTACTGCTGAACGGGTTTCTGCGCGACATCCATATTTGAGTTTTGAGAGCAGTCATCAGCAGAGCGATATGAGGGAACTGTGGAATTTGTGCTATTTTAAAATACCTACGCACTGCTACCGCGGAAACACTGCCAAAAAACGAGCTGGTACGATGAGGAATGTGGAACTGCAGTAAAAAGAAAACAACGTTATCACACGTGCTGGGTGGAATAGATACAGAGAACTAAAGAGAGAAGAAGACCAGAGCATACTCATGTATGAACTAAGGCGATAAATTGTTAACCGAATTCCAGAACATACTTAGTGTGTGGAGGGAACAGCTCTCCAGCATGCTGAGTGGCAGTGAAAGCCCCGCAATAATCGGACTTGGTGAGCCCGAGTTTCCAATCGATGAAATTTTAAAACACGTTCTAACGCCCAATTATGAAGAATCTCAGGTAGATAGATTTCCAGTTTAAAAAATAACAAAGTCGCCGGTGCTGACGGCTTATTGGTAGAGCTATTCCAAAGTGTTAGCAAAGGATTGACAAGGTGAATCCCTCTCTGCAATATTCGCCAAGATTTGGCTGGACTTCAACGAGATTTTCGAAACCAATATCTACAGTTTGTGATTTCTTCTATTTGATGTTGGAGAAAATAATAAGAACTGCAGAACTAAATATACAAGGCACAATCTTTTACAAGAGTTTACAAATGCTTTCGAAAAGTTAATGTTAAGTCCGTAATAATTTTGTAAGGAAATTATATTTTTCTAAATTCCAAACTATAAACTCATAATTTTAGGTGGTTGATTGTAGTGTGTTTTCAAAAAAAACCTTCTGCGCTCATTTAAAATGCAATATTCTCTTTCATTTCTCAAATTCGTTGCTTGTGTATTTCGCATCTTAAGTATATTTTCAATTTCACGACGAAATATATTGCACATTTTTCGACATATTGTTATTTCCACTACTTTCGTTTGCTTTGTAACCTTGAATGTGTGTGCAAAGTTTGTTATTGAATATTTTTCCTAAATTTCTTTTGAAGGTCGATATTTGTTTCCGGCTTTCGTTTCACAAAATCGCACAGCTGCATTCGTAGAAAATGCCTGAGCAAAAGACACACACACACGATGACCTTTAAACGAATATAGAAGTCCCGCAGCAAAATATATACCTAAAAATAGAACGTCCTGAGTGGAATTATACTAGTCTGAAAATATAACAACCTACTATCCACCAAGTATAAATTCAGTCCTGCAGGAACTCAAATTTTTGGGTCCCCCTGTTTACAGGAAGAATAACCTAACGCATACAAGAAAGTTTTCGGCTTCAATAGTCTTAAGGTGTCAAATTCAAACATTCCTTTAATTTCATACTTCTTGTATTGGCTCTACATTGTATGAGATCTTAGGACGATTGTTTTTTGCTTGGATTGGATTATAGTTCATCATATCCAGATTAATTGTAGTTGAGCCCAGTAGATTTTACTACAAGGTGATTGCATGTACTAATTGAATTCATTTCATCGGAATGATTGCCTTAGTTCCGTTCACTAAGAGCTGACAAAAATTCAACATTTGGATGATGTTAAAGCCACATACTCGTGTGTATGTAATGATATGCTGATGTGAAGAATGAAAGCAGCGAATCATACTTTGTAGCCAAAGGCTCGACTTTTCAAGAGTGATCAAATAAGAAAGAAGTTGGCGATTGATACAAGAAATGATTGCTAATGAATTGGACTTGAATGCCACGGTTGTATCGCGAATATTAAATAATAATCTGGGATACACGAAGAAATCTACTCGATAGGTACCACGAATTTTAAATGAGGCCCAAAAAGAGGCTCAAGTGCATTTTGCTCAATTTTTCCTAAACAAATACGAAAATGGTCTGTCTAGCAACCAAGTCGTTAGTGGTGACGAATCTTAGTTTTTTAGGTACGATCCAGAAACCAAACAGCAGTCCATGGTATGAAGCCCAACAGGAGCAAACTCAGCCGTAAAATCTAAGCATCAAAAATCAGCATCAAAAGTAATGAAGTCAGTTTACTTCACCCGATCTAAAATCGTTGTTGCTATTCCATTAAAAAAAGGCTCAGGCGGTAACTGCAAAGGGTAAATAAGAGTGTTTACCAAAAGTTTTCAAAGATTTGTTTGAAAACGGGAATAAAGAGGATTTGCGGCGCTATTTTTTACATCATGACCACGCGCCATCCCACAATGCTGAATTAATGAGTAAATTTATTGCGATCCTTCGATCCTAGGAAAGAAATATGCCCATCGGTATTTTCCCTGGATATAGCAACTTGTGACTTCTGGTTATTTCCAAAAATTAAAAAAAATATCTTTACTAGCAACGAGAAGATAAAACGGTTAATGCAGAACTGGATAAACTTAAAAACCAAGATTTTGAAGGCCGTTTTCAGAAGTGGATCTATAGGCTTAAGAAATGCATTGAATTCAATGGCGGTTATGTAGAGAAGATAAAAAAGGACAAAGATTACGAATAAATAAAAAAATAATTTTTTTTTTTTGTTAACTTACCGAACTTTTGTTAAACCTTGCGTATATTTTAAGCACAATAAATTAAACCGCTTACTACCACAAAACAATATAATATTTTCAATATTTTTCATAAATTAAAGTAAATTTTTTCTAAGTTTTTCGCCAGATGGTGGCGCATTTCCTGTTATGATAAGAAAATTAATGCAATAGAATAGAATGGAAAACATAAACTTGCTGCGCCAAAACTAAAGCACATTTGGATATATTGAGAATAGAAAAGTTGTAAGTTCTGATATTTCATAGTATTCGATTTCGGGTGGTTTTTAGAAGCAGGAATTCCTCTTGAAATCCGGTAAATTCTCGAAATGAGTTTTTTAAATTTAACATAGTAATTCAATAAAATTTTTTTGAAAATAAAATGAATTAAATATAATAGAATTGTAAATGAGGAAATACCGGCAAAGTGGTATTTTAAAGATTTCTCTTATTGTGGTCGAAATCTTAAACGGTGCTAACTAGACTCTTCCCATAAATTTGAAGAGTCACGTACTATGGGAACGAAAACAACAGTAACATCCGTTAATTAATGTGAAGGATGCTTCCCAGAATTTCACGCGATTTTATTATTTAAATGCTCTTCCAATGCCTTGTTTTCATTAGGTCCTATTTGACATCAAATGTTGTCAAAATAATGAAAACGGATTGTTTATTGTTTTGATTTGTGTTTGCTGGCATATTTGGCAACATACGGTCAATACAAAATGACTACCAAATGAAAACAATCAAATTTCGATTCACCAATCGATTTGACAACATTTGCCACCCAAATAATATTGACCCCTGTTACAAAGAGATGAATAAATCTATGGCATACAAGATGCTTTATTAAAAAATGGAGATCAGAAAATAACCGTTGTGATCAGAAAATGACCGTTGTTTTCATTTTTTTCATCAATAACCATTTTGTCTCCTTCAAAGTAATCCCCCTCAGATATCATAAACTTATGCCGGCGTATTTTCCAATCCTCGACACACTTCTGAAACGCTTTTTTTTTGGTGTCGCCAATAGCTTCTATTTCGATTTTTCTTTTATCGCCTCAATAGCAGTTTTGGGAAGAGGCTAAAGTCAGCGGTGGCCAAATCCGGTGAATACTTTGATCGAGGCATGATAAACGTTTTGTTATTGGCCAAAAACTCACGCACAAACATCGATATGTGAACTGGTGCGTTTTCATGGTGCAAAATCCATAATTGTATTTTCGAAACGATATGGCAACATCATCAGCAACCTCTCTGAAATTGATTCGACGATTATCCAAAATCATATTCTTCACTGCTTCAATGTTTTCATCGGTTGTTGACGCGCTCGGGCGACTAACCTTTTTATCTGTCAAAAATAAACTTACAATCCAAAATGGTTGATATTGCCAACATATATAACAGACTTGCGTAACTCACTACATTTGAAAATAACGGATATTTTGTGATCTTACTTACTTATTTTACTCGCGTAGATTTTACAACATCGGGCCATTCGAATGCTGGCACAAATTTAACCAATACTTAATAAAATTACTATTTCCTAATATAATAAATATTTCCTATGCTAACGGTGCATCATTCTTATTATTTGTATTTATTTACATGTAGGACGAGGAATTTACTACGGATCTTATTTATTCACACCGATTATTGTTAGTAATAACAACAGCTTTTATAGGTTATGTCCTCCCATGAGGACAAATATCATTTTGAGGAGCAACAGTTATTACTAATTTATTATCAGCCATCCCATACTTAGGAATTGATGTAGTTCAATGAGTTTGAAGAGGATTTGCAGTTGATAATGCAATATTAACTCGATTCTTCACTTTCCATTTTATTCTTCCATTCATTGTTTTAGCAATAACTTTAATTCATTTATTATTTTTAAATCAAACTGGATCAAATAACCCAATTGGTTTAAATTCAAATATTGATAAAATTCTTTTTCATCCTTATTTTACATTCAAGGATATTGTAGGATTTATTATTATAATTATAGCACTTATTTTATTAACTTTAATTAATCCTTATTTATTAAAAAAACCGAGATAATTTTATTCCATCAAATCATTTAGTTACCCCAGTTCATATACAACCCGAATGATATTTTTTATTTGTTTATGCTATTCTACGATCAATCCCTAATAAATTAGGAGGAGTGATTGCCCTTGTTTTATCAATTGCTATTCTAGCAATTTTACCATTTTATAATTTAAGAAAATTCCGAGGAATTCCAACGCGTAAAGGACCATAAATCTTACACAAAACCTTTCTCTCGAAACCCCCTAACGCCAATTTTCGCTGCAATAGAGCGACATTTTTTCCCCAAATGACATTACCCATTTGCTTCGATTTTGGTATATTTTGAATATAAAAACCGCAACGAGTCAACTACTTCACTTATTGGTTAAACGATGATAAAATAGATATATTCAAAATTGTTCTGTTTATAAGAAGGTTCATACTCAAGTGAAAGAACTTTTAATGGGGACAGTTTAACTGTCCGTTTGTTTTTTTTTTTCTTTTTGCACAGTACTGTATATATTTATATGTCCGAGTGGCAGTACGCCACTCCGATACTTACATATGGACAAATTTCAAGTAAAATCTTTATACCAATTTACGGCATTGAAGCAAGATATAAAACATATATATTTATTAACTCCCTACATATTTATTCAATCTAAGTTAACATAACTAACAACAACATTTACAAAAGTTTCATTCGAAAATATATTTTTTCCGAATCCTTTGTATTCATTTGTATTTATTAAATTTTTTTGTTTCTTTTGTTCACCTTTCAGTCTTTTATTTGGCCGCTGGCACGGCCGGCCACCGATGAAGAGCCACTCATCGTTGAGTTGCGCACACAAACCACAAAGACTTTGCTACGCACTGGACTCAGTCATGCCTCGGGCGGTTTGGTGGGTGGAAGAGGTAGCGGCAGCAGCGGTGGAAGTATGAGTGGCATCATCAGTAGTAGCAGCAAATGTGTTGGTCAATACATTGTTTTGATGCAAGGTAAAAATTTAAAAAGGAAAAACATTGTATATATACACGCATACATACATACATTAGAGTGTTTGTTATTTACCAGTACCTTTGAGCGAAATTTTTTGAAAAAAAGTGCTAAAATAATTTTCGATGGCCTAACCTCTGCTGAAATTACGCCACCCTTCTCATCAATTATTAAATGATGAAAATGCGTTATTTAAAATGTTGACTAAGAATCTCAAAAAATTATAGTTTTACATATACATTTGTATGTAATATTAATGAATTTGTAAATAACGGTCTTTCAATCCCATCAAACTAGGTAAATGTAAGAACTTCCATACAATAGAAATATCATTTGACAAGTCTCCACTACAGCAAAGAAGTAAGCTTCTGTAAAGAACCTTTGAAATTTACACTTCTCACATAACACATACCCTAATGTACATAACATATATGTATGCCATCTGTGTATATGCTCATATATAAAGCCATTCAATTGGGTATTTGTAAAACTTTTTCTCTGAAGTCGATATTCATTTCAACTCAATAATGAAATTATCTGAGTAAAATATTTGAATTTAATTCTACTCTTAATTTTAATTTAAATATTTTACTCGAAAATAATAAGACATTCGGGGGTATCATAGAAACCGACACAGAATTGCTCATTTATTCGACTTTGAAGTCTATATCTGTTTGAAATGGTGTTAGGAAACCGACTTGATTTTGATTTTTTTGGAAGTTAAACAAAACCGATATTCCAATCAGCTGTAAACACACTTGTGCAGAAAACCCGGCCATTTAATTCATTCTTTGTTTTAGTATTTACACATTTGTGATTATTCAAAATAAAATGTTCATCCACCCTGTCCATCCCACCTGTGATCCAATTTGCGGCGACACTCCAATTTTTGGCAGAAGGCCCCCATTAAGGGTCTGTGGGACTCAAATATCTCTTAAGCGCAACCTACAGTGTTGGTAGTTACAACAAAAGTGCTAAAGACTTTTGAACGTTTGAATTTTCCACGCTGGATAATTTTAGGAATGAACGACAATGAAAAACTGAGAGGTAGTGGCCATTTTTACATCAGGATTTAATTGAGCGCTTTCTTTTTTATCACCTATGACCGTTTTGTCCTTCAAACTAACCAATAACGCTATGTAATAATCGCCGTTGATGGTCCTTCCTTTTTCAAGGTAGCCAATTAAAATTAACTAGGATTTATTACCATCAACTCGTAATTTTTTTTCTCCAAAAACAAAGATTTTTTTGGAGATGCGCTTATTACCGGACCATAAACCGCAACAACCAGTTACACTTTGAGGATAGAGATGCTTTTCAATAATAAATATTGGGTTTTCCGAACCCCAGTTTTGCGTCAGTTTTGCTTATAGCCGTAGCCATCGAGCTGGGTCTCTTCCATCAACATGATTTGCCATGTTATTCCGGATCAATTTCATGCATTTCAAGGACCTAATTAGTAAATACACGACGTTTTTGATGATCGAGCGGCTTGAGCTCTTGTATTAACTGATCTTTGTAAACCTTAAGACCCAAGTTAATACGCAAAATACGATGCAATGACGTGTGTGGAAAATCCAATTCCAAAGAGTGACGAGGAATGGACAAACCTTCGATCAACACTTTGTGCTACAGCAGGAAGTTGTTCCCAGTTGTTTTTGAGCGACGTGCACATGTTCTTCACATCACTAAATTCTCTTAAACGCTACTTTTTTCCACTACTTTCTGTAATGCGGTCCGACAAAAATGTTTTAGTTTACGAACCGTCTCCGCCAGATTTTCACCATTTTTATAGTGAATTTGAATAATTTCGATGCGTTGTTGTATCGTTTATCGTTTCATTTTTATTACTTGCATAGTTTTTAATTGTCCAATGTCAAAAAATACAGATTCAAAAGTGACATTTACCGTTATAGCAGGCTATTCATAATAACACCTCTCATTGGAAAACAACTCACATCGAAAAATTATGATAATAATTTTACTTGAGCTTAACGATGGCGATTATGCCCATCTCAAAATCTTTGAAACCGAGAAAGTCAAACTCTATATACCGTAATTTTCAGTTTAAATATTCTGGTTATGTGTATAAAAAGTAATTATAATTGTGATATTTGCGCAAGCGCGTAAAACTGTGAAATAAGAACTTCTAATTAGGCAGGCGGCAGGCAAATTACATATTCTATGTATAGCACAACTGTAGTAGTAAATACATGTATTTACATGAACATATTTTTTCAAGTGTACCTGAGCCACTCAAGGCCCTTTTGAAGACCATGCGCTGGATGTAATGCGCGTGGTAGTGTGGGGGCAAGGTCAATGAAAAAATGCAGTAGCAAAAAACAGCAAACAGTAACCTTTAAAACACGAAGTAGAACAACAATTTCTGTCGTGGTTGTTAAATTTTTGGATATTTCTAAAAATTATTTGTTGCTTTTATTTTGTTGTTTTGTAAAAATACCTTTGCTTTGCGTACAACAAATTCTTTGCATATTTATATGTATGTTTGTGTGTGTATGCCATGCATACTTACATGTACACCAAACTCATTCTATACGTATTGGTATGCATATATATGTATGTATAACAAAGTTGTGTAAATAGGTCAAGAGCAAAATACTATGTAACTATTTAAAGCAACCGGCACGCTGGGTGAGTGAGTTGGGTGGACTCGTGTCTGATTGAAGCTTCATTTCTTGAACATCATCAGCATCAAAGGATTTGCGGTTAACCATTAGTGATGATAATTGTGCGAGTAGGCATGCGAGTTTTAATGGCCGACAGTTATCAAGGTGACACAAAAAAATTAAGGCAAAACATTTTAGAAATATATTTTATATTGCCCTGAGATCAAACCAGAAATTTACTCAACCCCAATAAGTTGTTTCGTAGTTTAGATATTATGTACATAAGTATATTTGCATTTTCTCCGAACTGCAACCAAAAACGTTTAAATTGATGATTTTCGCGCTATTTTCGACCGAAAATTCCTAACCACTAAATCCGTTTTATCAATTTTACGTATATACGAGGGGATTAACACAAGTTCGATAAGATGACCAGAAAACAAAAATATTTTTGCATTTATTCGCAATCTTTAGCTTTTTTATCTTTTTTTCATAATCGCCATTGATTTCAATGAATTTCTTAAGCCTATAAATCCACTTCTGCAAACAGTCTTCAAAATCTTGCTTTTTAAGTTTATCAAGTTCAACATTAACGGCATTAATTATCTCCTTGTTGCTATTAAAGACCTTTCCTTTCAAATTATTATTAATTTTTTGAAATAACCTGAAAACATGGGGTGCTATATCTGAAGAATATTAAACTGGATTCATTTCTCCGATCCCAGAGATCGCAATAGTATGACTCGTCATTTCAGCAGTGTGGGATGGTGCGTTGTCATGATGTAAAAAATAGCGCGGCAAATCCTCTTTATTGATGTTTTCAAACAAATTTTTGAAAACTTTTGGTAAGCGCTCTTCGATGTATCATTTTGCAGTTACCGTCTGATCCTTTTTCAGTAGAATAGCAGAAACGATTTTAGATCAGCTGAAGTAAACTTTTTGCTATTTCTGCTGATTTTTGTTGCTTACATTTTATGGGTGGGCTCCATCCATACCATGGACTGCTGTTTGGTTTCCAGATCGTACTTATAGAACCAAGCTTCGTCACCAAAATTGTTAGACCGCCCATTTTCCTATTTGTTTTTCGAAAAATTGAGTAAAATGCACTTGAGCCTCTTTTTAGGTCTCAAAAAAAAATGGTACCCACCGAGCGGATTTGTTCTTGTCTACCGGATGATTACTTAATATTGGCGATACAGGCATGGCATACAAGCCCAATTCATTAGCAATCCTTTTTTGTATTAATCGTGGTTTTTCGTCAGTCTTGGACTTCACCAGAGCTACAGTGACGTCATCAGTGGAAGATTTTGGTCGACCTTCTTGGTGCTCATTCTCCACGGAAAAATTTCCGGTTTAGTATCTTTCGAACCACTTACAAATAGCTTTTAAAGTGGGTGCAACCGTTAAGTATGCATTTTGACATTCACTGAATATTTGTGTTGGCTATAAATTACACCAAAACCCGAAGACTAATTCTCAGCTACCTTGCGTGTTGTCATCTCCATTTCGGCCGACCATTCTAAAATTTGAAAGGAGACTAATAAAGCAATTGCAAAGGATTTGATATTTTTAGATTTAAAAAAAAAATTGAAAGTCACCGACTAACCAAACATTTGTTAAACCCCTCGTATGTATGTGTACCTACTCGTACAAGTGTCTGCATGTTTGTATGTTAGCTGTATACTACTTCCATTTGTTGGAGTGGAAATAAACTGATGGCTTTGAATAATTTAAACCCAAAGACACGCAATGCGCGAGCATTAGTGCGATATTTAGACTTTTTCGCAGCGAAACATTATTACTGCGCTTTGCGACCTTTGTGCTGAGCAGAGCTATTTTTCAACAAAGCAATCACTAGGGACCCACTGCTGTAATGTGCGATTCACAACCGAATACATGGTTTGGGGGGAGTTCCATTATTACCCACACTGTGTGAAAGCGCAAATTATTTCAGACTAAAACAAAAAGAAGTAAAAATTTCAGGTGTTAATAATAACGTGGCTTAGCTTAAATAAGTAAGGATTTTCAACAAAGCTCTTCGATTTGAATTATTTGATTAGTATCAGCGAAAACAAGGAATGAGTGGCGCGCTGTTGTTAAGTCGGCTATAATGCGGAAGAGGAGTCCACGCCAGAAGAAGAAAATTAATGTTTTCTGTTCCTTTCCAGTGTAAAGTTCATTATTTTTTATTTGGCCTATCTATGACTATTGGTATTACAGAAGACTTGAAACAATTTTTGAACAAATGATTCCGGTGCCTCCGTAGTTTCGTTCAACAAAAACAAGGATGTAATAAATACCAAATGTAGCTTACGTAAATAAACGGAAAACAGAATTTTCTTTATGAGCTCATCTTGGTCATCATCTTATGTCAACTCATCAAGAAAATTTGTTGCTTCTTCTAAAGTCAAAGTTCTATGTTCGAAACACTTTTACAACAAACACTGAAACGAGTGCGAAGCTTTACGAATGTGAGGAGTGCCCTCTGTTATATACATAATTATCTCTTATAGGAGTAGACAATTTCAATTGGGAAATATTCTTAGCGAACTTAATGCCGGCTGTAAGTGAGTTGGAGCATGCCCAAATTTTTCAGTGTCGATTAGAGTCCTCGTTGAAAAGTTGTTACTACAGCTGCTACCAAGTCTGCCAATTAAATTAATTATGCTTTGGACATTTTAAAAACATAAAGGGGGTTTCGATCCACTTGACTTCGAATTTAAAACTTTTGTGGCGATTATATGGAAAGCAAGTTTTTTTTTATTACAATAACGAAACATAAAGACTAGTGAACCATATGTCAGTAGTCAAAATGGAACGATACGCACCTCAATAACGCATTGAAATTATTAAAATTCACCATAAATAAAGGGTGATTTTTTTAAGACCTATAGGAATGTTTTCCAAAAAAAGCACATGAAGTCTAATTTTGTCATACTCTTTCCAACATTTCGGACGGTATCTCACGAATAAATGCTTCAATGTTGTCCGCCAATGCGTCAATTGAAGCGGGCTTGCCTGTATAGTCATCGGAATTAACAAGGTCCCAGAAAAATAGTCTAAAGGCGTTAAATCACACTATCTAGGCGGCCAATTGACCGGTCCCGAACGTGAAATAAATTCTTCACCGAACTCGCCTCTCAATAAGTCCATTGTTACGCGTGGTATGTAGCATGTGGCACCGTCTTGTTGAACCACATAAAGTGCCAGTCAAGCTCTTGCATTTTGGGAAAAAAAAGTTTGATATCATCTCACGGTAGCGCTCACCATCATCTTTGAAGAACTACGGTCCAATGATGCCACCAGCACATAAGCCGCACCAAACTGCGACTTTTTCTGGATTCATTGGTAGCTCTTGCAATGTTTCTGGCTGAGCATCACTCCAAAATACGTATGACTGTTTGATGCGGTTTATGGTCCGAAGAGATTTTTCGAGAATTGATAGAATGCGATGACGAGAGATATATGCACCACGTTTACTTTCAACAAGATGGTGCAATGTGCCACACAAGCAACAAAACCATCGATATTCTTTGAACATCCTTTAAAACACCTCGTATTATATATGTTATATTATATATTCACAGCAGAGAAGGTCAACCCCTTCAAGTGTATTTCTGACAAGAAATATAGGGTTCTCATAAAAGGAAGTTAACCAGCTGTTCGGATTTCCATTTGTTCACAAAAACTTGAACACGCACAACACAAAACCTTAATAAAGTATTGACTCCATTACTTATATGAGAAAAAATTTAAACATATTTAATGTTCCGTGCGACAAAACATAACACATTTTAATACTTAATAGGGCTGCTGTTATTGTGAATAACGTCACTGCACCTTCGCGGGGTGGAAGCAATAAGATTACTCCTATGGAATACTTTTTCAGCTACAATTAGTTCCTTTTTGGCCCCGTATTTTTACCCCTACATTCATATCATATCATTTTAAGATATTAATGTTTTCAGCTATGATCCAATAAGCTACTACTTTCCAGGTGTTTTTTGGGTCGTAATCACATTGAACCGACCTCGGAAGCGGCATATTCTACTCCACATAGGGAAGTATCACGCTATCAAGAATATCTTTATAGATAAACTGATCCATAAAGCAATTTTTTTATGCAGAGTTCCAACACCAAACCAACGAAAACATCCCAATGTCTTAATAAGATCTCCGCCATGTTTAATAGTAATCATACAGTGTTGAGGTTCTAAGAGCTTATAATTTGATTGGCGAACTCTTTCATTTCCTTTCGAATATTTTAAATTAAGTTTTATTTATTAGAAAAATACGGTGTTTCACTGGCCAATTGACGAGCTTTCGACCAAATTGTACACGGTGACGATTTTTTCTGAAAATAACAAACTTTTTGGCTCATAAGCTCGTGCTCTTCTTTGTTATATTCGGTTGCTAACTTTTATGTTAGAGTCCTTAACGACGTTTGAAACCGACTTTTCTGAATTCTTCTTTAATTGCCTGGGTAAGTCCTCGTACTGTGTTATAGCTTTAGGTAGTCCTCCAGAGTGGTAAGTTTCGGCACTCCACTTTCTGTAAAGTATTTATAATTAAACTAAATGTTGATTTATTCACACACAAATTCTTGCAGATGTCTTTTTGACTGAAGAATAGTTTATTTCTTTTAATCATTGATAACAGATTTTTCAACGGTACTGAATGTTTTATTCAATTTTTTTATGACATTCTTTGAAATTCCAAGAATGCATAACATACGCGCCTGACACGCAAACCATTAACAAATGACGGTACTTTTGTCACCAACTGAAAGAAACTGCTACGGTTCTAATATGTTTTGTTGCAGTAAATATTGCTAACTCAAAATCTTTCACTCTCAAAACTTCATGAGTGGACAACTTATTAGGGTTCTTTACGATTTTAATAAATAAAAATAATAATAATGATAATATCAGTCGTAGGTATACTATATAAACAACAAATAATACAATTCTCCTAAGGCAGGAAGTCTACTAGTTATCCTCCACCAAAGTGGCATTGATAAGCTAACCACAAAGGTAACAAATTACCACTCAAACACATAATTGAACTATTTCATATGAAAGTTTCTGTATGTGGTCAATCGCTTAACTGCTGTTCAACTATGTACGATGGGATTAACAAAAGTTCAGTCAGTTGGTGAGTCAATTTGTTTTTTTCAGTCTAAAAATATCAAATACTTTCTTAGTCTTCCATTCAAATTTTAGAAAGATCGGCCAAAATGGAGATGACAACACGCAAGATAACTGAGGATAGGTCAGGCGAAATATCGCCGCCAACGCAAACAGAAATTCGCCATGTGATTCCCTTCGGGTTTTGGTGTAATTTATAGCCAACACAAATATTCAGTGAATGTCAAAATGCATACTTAACGGTTACACCCACTTCAAAAGCTATTTGTGAGTGGTTCTAAAGATTCTAAACCGGAGAGTTTTCCGTGGAGAACGAGCTCCGAGAGGGTCGACCAAAATCTTCCACTTATGACGTCACTCTAGCTCTAGTGAAGTCAAAAATTAACCAAGACCCACGATTGACACAATAAATGACTGCTAATGAATTGGGCTTGCATGTCATGGCTGTGTCGCGAATACTTAGAAATGATCTGGGATACGCGATGGGTACCAAGAATTTTAAATGAGGCCCAAAAAGTGACTTGTGATTTCTGGTTATTTCCAAAAATTAAAAAAAAAATTAAAATAATTAATGCGGTTATTGCTGAAGTTGATAAGTGTAAAAAGCAAGATTTTAAAGACTATCTATAGACTTAAGAAATGCCTTGAAATCAGCAGCGATTTTGTAGAGAAGATAAAGTAAGACAAAGATTACGAGTAAATACAAAAGGAATTTGTTTTGTTTTTTTCTGGTCAACTTACCGAGCATTTCTTAATCCCCTCGTATAAACGGAATGAAAGGACGCTAAGCTGAAATGGGGTAATAACATTACGATGATTTCAATTAAAAGGATAGCAACAAAACAGGTAAACCGTGAAATTAGAGATTTTCTACCAGTGATTGATGAATTCTGCTTTCGTAACTTTTTTGGAATAAACATTTTTATACTCGAAAATGTTATGATTTGGCAAGTTCAATGATGTTATATTAATATATACATATACATATGTAAGTACTATAATAACGGATTTAATATTCACTAATCAAAGCAAATGTATGTATACATGTGTATTTTTATAAAAGCTTATGTGTACATAACTAAGAATACAATACAATATAGTTTTGTATATACATACATACATATATAAAAATTTTAATATTTCTATTGTTAGGTCTTATCAGCAGTGGTTACATACACATTGAAGACCAAATGGTGGATATATCATCAAATAAGCCAATACAGGTAAATGATCCCTATATATTACTTGTATATACACGTGTATCTATGATAAATTAATATTGCTATAACCTAAAAAAAATTCTCTGTAAATCAAAATACATAATTTTATTCAAAAAGAAAAAATTTAAATTTTATATATAAAATATAATTAAGAAAAAAAATTTACCAGGTAAATGTGTCAGTACCCCAGATGGGACTCGAACCCACAATCCCCGGCTTAGGAGGCCGGTGCCTTATCCATTGGGCCACTGGGGCTTCCATTTACACGCTGGCAAAATCCATACAACAACGCAAACCAAATACATCACACACACGAGAAGTACAACGTAAGCAATGTGCACGAACGAAAACCGAGTGCATATACGAACAAACATATACGCTTCAATTCAACAGCATAGCGAAAAATAAATACCAATGAAAAGTAGCTGCTGCTGATAAACAAGTAAAAACGTTCACCACACAACAAGCAGACAATAGCAATAGCTGCTGACGACGAAACACGCTTCTACCACAGCGCACTCATCTACACATACAAATACGCATCTACTTATATATCTACGTTTATGTTCATTTATTCATTCACATCAAAACGTGCATACAAATATCTACATATATACCATACACTCGTACGTACCATTACCTTTCGCTGGCGAAAGGCGAATAACCCACTTTGGCGTAGCGTGTGCCACCAGGCTAACATACCATTGCATATATGTATGTATGTACTTATGCATACATATATTTGTACATAAATAGACTGAAGGTTTGTTCCAACATATTTACCAGTCAGATACAGTGGTGGATATAACTAAAGCACACTTGAATAATTTTTATTCATTTAATATTTACACAAAATTAAATACATATGTACATACATGTATTTTTGAAGAGAAAATTGAAGGTTAAAAAACAACAAAATTTTATGTATTTTTTTATTTACTCCATAAAAAATAATCATTAAACAGGAATTATTAAAAAGAATTCTTAGTTTTTTGGGGTATGGCGCAAGTACACTTCAAATACCTGTTTATTACTTATATTTATGTAGTATATATGTACTTGCAAAATGAATTTGGAAATAATAAAACGAAACACTGATGGTTTATTTCAAAAAAAGTATTTTTCACAATTTTTTTCGTGAAGAGCTAATATGTATTGCGATTCAAAAGAAAAAATGTTCGAATTCGAATATATGCTACTACTTAATTCTATAATAGCATTTCAATTCGAATGCTGCCAAATTCGTTAAAGGCAAACTCACACACGGTGGTAGCAAGAATACGAGAACAAAAGGCCTAAGAACGTTCGAAATGCCAAAACCAATTTCTCATGTATTTTGTTTGTGTAATGTGTTGAAATGTAAGGAAGAACAAGCAATCTCATGATGTGACAACTTCACATTCTTTAAATTCGCCTTCTTCACGTTACTACCTAATGCGAATGCGACAGTGAGTTCTATTCGAAAATGGCAAATATCATTCGACAAGAAACTAGAATTCGGAATGGTTGGAAAATGTAAGGAAAGATAGCATGATACGAAACTCTTTATTTCGTGAGAGCGTTCTAAAAATCCATATTTTCCAACAGTGCCACTTCGATGAAAAGGTTTCCATTTTGGACTTTGTTTTCGTCGTCAAACCTCAACGCCACCGAAACCATTTTTAAAACTTTAACCGACTTTTGTATAAAATATTAATTTGTTTATATATTTGTTCACACTTCTCGCGTTTATACAATCTTCGAATATAGTGCCGCCCGTTTTAAAATTTCGTCGCGTAAGCGAATGTGCAAGTGTTAGGTAGTGTCATTATCAGTTCGGATCCCATCTTGATTTCGAATCGCATTACGAAGTAAGGGCTTTGATATCTTTACATAAAATGTGTGAGATTCTATAGCCGTTGCTTAGAAGAATTAACATTTTTTTTTGGGAATCTTTAATGGAGTTCTTGGCACTGGATGAGTTACCTTTCCGAAAATGCAAAAAAAGTACATATTGCAGATAGTAAATTTATCGATTTTTGCCTACTAAGGGATACGCTGATATAATCAAGGTATTATGAATATATACATTTAAAGCAATGTTTTATAAACTAAATTTAAATTTTCAAATCTATTGAAAAAACGAGAACTTACAAATTGCGTTCTTTGCAACTAAACGTTGATGAACTATTGGTAAAGGGTTATACATACATATGTATGCACATATGTAATTTTTCAATCTAGTAGTAAGTAAAATTAGAATTTCACAAAATAAGCAGATTAGATGTTAATATTTACATATTAGAAGCTTAAGATTTGGTTCGAACATTTTCGAGCGACTTGAGTAATTGAGCAACGAGTACTTGCACACCAGTACATTGCTCATTGTTCGAAAGATTTTAAGCCCGCACTCGAGCTTTTTCAACAAAAAAAACTATTTTCTAACATTTTAAACTTATTTAAGCAAATTTCGATAAACTACAGAAGTAATGTGGATTTCCTTTTTCCTCAAAAATATTTAATTATTTATCAATTATTATTTTCTCGGTCTCAAGATTTTACATACATATAACAGTATAAGCTCTTGTCTCTGTTGGACATATCGCTAAATAAAGAATAAGCAATTAACTGTATTCTACCAATATATCGTTAAAACAAATAAGAATCCGATGAGAATAAAATCTCCCATTACAAATACTTTTAATTACTTTATTGCGTTGTATGCTTTCCTCAAATAATAATTTATATTATATTTATAAATTAAAATAATTGTTTGCAAAAAAATAATAAAACAAATTCTTTGATATAAGTATTAAGTAAAATAAGATGCCTGGTTGTTTGTTTGAATTGAATATTTTTTATACAACATCGCCACATCTCCTCATCAGACTTCTTATGGCAAGGATCGAACCAACGGATCCTGACTTAACAAATTCATTTTTCAACTTGAGTTTTATTAATCAAAACATTTTTCTTTAACTTCTTTTTTTTTTAATAATATTAGTCTGAGCAATCTTAATTTATTATTTAATTTTCTACGGAGTTTAGGTCAGGACTCTGGGCAGGAGTGTCAATCACTTTACTGCAATTATAGAGTAGCCACGTTCTGCACAGCAATGATTTATATTTGGGATCGTTGTCCTGGTTCAGTTTATACTTCTTTTTACAAGGGTTTTCATGGTCAACATATCCAAATCTTATCGCACTCCTTGACAATTCGTTCTTAAGAATGTCCAAGTAAAACACTCAACTCGTCATCACGTCATTGAAAATGCGGAGGAGCTCACTACCACCTTTCCACGAAATGCAGCCCCAAACCATTACAGAAAGAAAGTTTCCTCCAAACTTGACTGGGTCCATCATGACAGTATATCAATATATTTGGATTCAGTTGAAATATGTTCGAAACAGCTCTATGGCACGGGTGATCGAACAGCTTGAGTAAAATAAATATTTGGGGCGATCTGCGCTGGTCATATTTGGAATTGCGAACACGATTTCACACATTTGCAATAACTTTACTTTTAAAGCTTACGCGACATAGACTGAACAACTTGAAAAGAGGTGTAGCTTTAGTTACTACTTAGAATGTCTCTAGTTTACATTTTTCCACTGTTAGCATCAGTTCTATACTAGTTACATACCAGATCATCTTGATTCCCCTTGGCGACTATTCAGACTAAAAACTGCGAACAATAACATGGTGTAGCAAAAAATTAAACTCACCCGAAATAACGATGGTGTTTATTGGTGATTTGAACAACTATCGATCTGGTATGATTTTATTTTTAACGTACTAGTGTTAAACGAAAGTATTCGTAATCAAATTGAGAAACTTATTTTAAGTGAAAAGTAAATACTTTATCAACTAATTACAGTACTTAAATCAAGTAAGGAACACTAAGTTCGAATGAAACCGAACTCTATATACTCGGCTGATATTCTTGTCAAATCAGAAATATGAGTTATGGACCTATTTCGCAATCAATTTCAGCCATTTTTGATATTGTTTTAGTCGAAATTCTTATTATGGTAATTATAATTATAAAATTTTATTGAATTTTGTATATGACCATCTTCAATTATTTTTATCACTAATATTTTCCCATATAATACAATCGTCCCCAGCAAATACGACTTTAATTGCACGTTTAGTTACCAGATTATCCTTTATTAAATTTTTAATATTAAAACCATATGGGAGGTTGTCCTAAACATGGTTAAATTTCGCATATTTCATCAATATATGTACATATGTAAATTCTTGCTTGAGTTATCGCCCACACGGACGATCATTTGTTAACAGATTTGCCTCTTCATTCCATGAAATTTTATATGTAAATGTAAGTACTAGCAGACCCAGCGAACTTCGCGTCGATTTAATTGCATGCCGTTTTATTACATTAACAGTGATAACGAAATTATGTAGACAGTTCAAATGCGCATGTGAATTATTTGAATGAACTCGATCAGCAGAAAGCAATATGGTAGTACGCAAGCAAGAACAAATAACAAAAATGATTTGTCAAGACGCGAACATGCGCAAATCTCATAAAGTTACTCAAATAAAACTAAGCGGTTTCAGATAAGAAAAGTTAAAGCAAATTAAACCATATATAAGATTATTAAGAACCGGTTTCTGCATGTTAATCTAAACGATAAGCTACCAATTAACTAAGTTTCAAGAAAGTCGAATCGGGATTAAGATTATGTCGCATGAATCGGTCTTCGAGATTCTCTTAATAAAGTTTAATTATCGTTCGGTCCAACCGTTACCAATTCAGAAGAAACTATAAATTTTTTAACAATTTTAATATATCGTATGGACCTTTACATGGGTATGTAGATAAGGGTTTCCCATTGAGCGAGATCGCACATGTACTAAAAATTAACTACTCGCTCTAGGAGTTAGTTTTTTTTTCTCACTTGTATACAATATATGTATATAAGTATCTATTGTGCGTAATTCATTGAAATGACAATTGTCCTAGCGCACGCTATGCCTTCCAACAAAACTTTAGCTT